ATTCTGCGACCGATGTCCACGAAAACTAATGTGATCTGTGGATTGCTTGCTATATATATATATCTTTTTTTGTCTGTAAGTGACCCATGCCCTCTTCACTTATTTGAAAATGTGACGGACTACCATACGTTATCGACTTGCTTACGTCTATTTAAATTTCTATATCTGTTCGACGTAGTATGAAATAGGGGCAGTTTGTCGGTTTCTTTAAGCTCGGGGGCACACAGCCCGCACAGCGCGTGCTGTAACTTGTCTGGCTTATATAAGCTTTAGCGATGGTCTGGCAGCACTTCTTTTCTATTGGTCCCCGATTGAGCACGACTGGTGTATACAAATAACGTGTAGCCGACGCTTCAATATGTTTTGGCTATCATCTTCAGTCATGGTGACGACCGTAACGGCTGTGCTTGTAGCTGTCGCCAGTATCACAAATGCCGCCCTCATGGATATAAGCGATTACGGTGATTTCGAACGACGCGTGCTGAACAACGATAGGCCAGTCATTGTGGGTCTGACATCCAAGCACTGTATGGCTTGCAACCTAGTCATGGATGATCTCAAAAATATAGTTGCTCAACGTCCTGCTGTTGACCTGGCTATGGTTGATGTATTAAATGAACCCCTTGCTGACGAAGTAACAGTGCGTCGATTTAGTCGCCGAATTATTCCCAACGTGATCGGTTTCCGTAGCGGTTTGTTAATTGGTGAGGCGGAAGACCATGGAACCCATTCGCTGCGACGTTTTGTAGAGAGCGTTGAGAGTGCCCGGCTAGTTATCTCACCTTTTTCAACACCTAACAATTAAATGCCAACGATAAACAGTACTTAAATCGCGGTGTATCGCGTTGATCTATGTTTCCGATCATTGTCTCAACTGAAGAACGTGTGGTATATATCGGAAAATTTATATCATCATGTGCGTCTCACAATCAGAAGACCGAGAGTACTTGCTTGCAAATTTGCTGAGATAAGCTGATCATAAGGGGCACTAGAGGCCAAGTAAAACTGTATACGACGCAAAACCGAAACAAAATTTATTCCATTTTCGATGATCACTTATTTGCTGTTATTGAATCTTGAAAAGGTATTATCAACTGCAACAGTGTTAATTAGAAAAACCGCTTATACGGGAAATAAACATTTGATAAGCGCATATTGGAATTGCTTTCTCAGCTAGTTTTCACCTGGCTACGTTCTGTCTAAGAGTTGTTGACAATTAACAAGTACTGACTTATAACCACAACACACTATAACGTGCTGAGCTCTACAAATATTTCACTTTCAATACCAAAATTAACGACGTAATTATAATACGTAAGTATGGTACCAGATATGGTAACGAAAACCGACTTTCCAAAAGAGTTGATCATGAAGTCATAGAGCAGGGCCATCAAAGCCATTTTTGGGCTCAATTTCAACGCGCAGTTCTGTAGTACTAAATATCAGTTGCCGATATGTTAGAATGTGGAACATGCGCCCTTTTATTGAGTATGTTCTCACTTCTTCATTTCTGGTCTTTTTTCCAATTAGATTTTCCTGTATGAGTCACTTCTACTCCACAATAGCTGCATTAAACTGCGTAGTGCAAAAGAACCTGTATAAATGTAAAAAAAAAAAAAATTGGAGACGGAGCTTTAACGTGTAGTCTCGTCATGTATCTAATAATCTCGCGTGTATTTGGCCCATACATTTGTTTTTATTGTGGAAGTTACATTTTTAAGTGGCGATTGCTCTACCAAGGTTAGTACTAAATTACCGCTATTGTATATTATGTTAGAAACGAAACACAGGGTGATCATTATATTGCAAGCTTGAGGTCGGGGCTCTTGAGTGTATGATGAGTGTAGATCGCCTTGCAAGCAAAACGATGCGAAAATATGACGTATCTTTTAAGATTCCTCAAAAATATTCGATGCGTCGCAACGCGTTATCTAAAATGTATGTGATGGTTCTGCACTAATTAACTTGAAAACAGTGTTTTTGCTTAATAGGTTATTATGAAGAGAGCAACAGCCGAACTCATCTGTTCCCCTCACTACCAACGCTATGCAATCTTTCAACTTATCATATTATGAAATAAGAATCGTTAAGCTTAAATATTCTTTCCTTTAGCGTGCTCTGCGTTAGTGATAAGGAATGGAACAAATTATAAAGATTCTATTATAATCCTTCAAATAAACGATAACCTGCAAACAAGCGTTTTTCTATTGAATAATTGCAAATTTTGCTGAAGTATAAATCTTTTATTTTTTAAGAACTCTTTCGAACATTGTTCCCCTTTATAAGCTTCGCTTTTTTTTTATATAGACTGTGTAAAAAATTGCCTCGTACTATTTATATAGATCTTGAGAAAGTAAAAAAACTTTCACATTCGAATATCTTAGAAATGTCCGATGTTAAAATAATTGTTTACGAAATGCATCCTGTCGTAGTAGTAAAAATAGTTTTTTTTTTTTGTTTCATAGTAAAAAATAATTTTTTTTTTTTGAAAAAATATTCATCCTACCGAAATTACTTCAGTAAACAATTTGAATTTCGGAACACTATTAGGATCTTCAAATGGAACAATATTAAAAATATTAATTGTATAGCAGTCATAGATTGCCTTAATGTATGCTATTCTAAAAAAAAGATGCCTTAAAATTCCCAGTAACAGTTTTTAATAACTATAACTTCGTTTTTTTTTTTTTTTTTTGATTACTCAAAACTACTGCTACAATACGTTTCTTTTAGGCCACTTGTTTGTCTACACCTGATTGTCTACTATAGAATTTTATAGACTAATCCACCGGGTACATAAATATTGAATACTTACTGCGTACTGAAAAGTAGTTATTATCTAGGTACTGAAAATCAGTTACTAAAGTTAGTATTATTATGGTCGTTCTGATCATAATGAAATGTTAATGCTCAGAACTATTTTGCAAAAATATGTTTAGAAACTAATGTTTACTGATCAGACTATTACATATGCGTGTAAAATAGAATTTTCAATTATAACAATACCCTTAAACAGGAAAGATACATATTAATGCTAATTAGTATGTACAAAACATCATAACTTCAATATATATATATACACTAGTTAGAGCACTGAAACTAATTTTAGTGCAGACGTGGCCTATTCCAAAGCGGCCATTTTTCATTTAAACAGCCGATTCAGCGTACAGCTCCTTACGATGCGATAACGCATCAAAGAAAGCAACCTAAGATATCCGTTAAACAGACAAATGTAGCTCTATTTTCTTCTCTGCGGAACTTGATCATGTCTCTTTTTAGGGCTCTTTTACTACAAGCACAATTGAAGCAAGAATTTTCAAAGTGTAAGAATGTTGGCCCATAAGAGAACCTTAAATCTCACTGAATAGGTCATTGCTATGGAAAGGAAGCCGAAATACAATTCATTGTCAATTGTAAAAACATTCGGCTCCATTTGGCAGAACCTCATTTTTCAGCCGGTCACATTTTTTCCTGATAGATAGAATATGCAGTGGTTCCAACACATGTTCGCACAGTCTGAAGTTCCTTGTCTGTTTGTGTTATTGACGGTCCGTTGTCTATCTTGCTCGAGAAAACTTTTTTTCTTTAATGTTTCACCAATAAAAGCATGCAGCGGCTGCTTAGAAGCGAATATAAATGTGTAATCTTTATAATTATAAATAGATGTATTACACATTATAAATAGATAAAAAAAAAAAAACAAACAGAATGTACATATATTTCGTTAAGTTATCCCATGCAGCTAGTTGACTGGCCAATATAAGAGCCCGTCCCCAAAAATCCTATATCTGACAAAATAGTGTTCCAAAGGATGGCTTCTATATAGAAAAATGTGTTTTTTCAAATATTTAGTGCAAACCTCAAAAGTGTGCCCGTCCTTTTTTACTGGTGCAGTTGCTACTTATCTTATGAAAAGCTATTTTTACGTTACGTAATGATACTAACAACATTTTCAGTGACTCCTGCTTGAGTGACGTTCAGCTTGTAGAGCCCGTTACCCTGGATTTTTTCTCGTCTAGCTATTTTGAATCAGAAATATTATTATCTAAAGCAAAACGTACATCACACTGTAAGGTTTAAATTGTGGAAATCTTTCAAATATACTTGCGAGTATTAACAAAGGCTAAGCCTTTTGAGATTTTCTTTTCTATAGGTAAGTCGTTACATCTGTCTTGTTTCAGTTAGATTGTCATTTGGAGCAATCGGCTCAATAACATTAAACGCAATAGTAGATGTATGAAATATATCCTGTTGGTGCCCATGTGGGCCATATACTACAGGCAAGTTCTACTAAAGACTGAGCTAAAATGTATAAAATTGAAGTAACAGAAACAATTTACGAAAATCATCATAATAACAAATATTCTTTATTGAACTCGTCTGCGAATGAAAAATGGTGATTTAATATTTAAGCAAATCACATCGCCATGATATGACATTATCTTTATAAAGGCGAAAATTTATCGTAGTTCACTTTTACATTACAGTCGGGAACTTTGTGGATACAGATATATCATTATCATATAAGACGTAAAAAAGTAAGAGTTGAACTACTACACTCCAACTGTAATAGTAACTATAAAGTGATAGAGCCAATTTATATAAAATAGTAAACATCTTCTCATTTATAATGAACAGATATGTTAGACTGATTTCGAGTAATCAGTGTTGTGGATTACCTGCTATATGCGTTCGTCGTCTCTTTCCATTTGTACAAAAATAGTTTATTAGACATCTTTACAAGATTGTTGTACAAGACAAGTTGCATCATTTTCTTGATATATAGCTACATATGGCAGCAGTGTTGCTCTTATGCATTTTTCCTGAATACAGGATTTCATATTTCCCTTAATGTTTCAAGTCCTGTGCCCAGCATTGTCGTTAGGCATTCCACCGGAGGGCCAGCTAATCAGAATTTTCCCAGCACTAAATGAAACGTGTCTACGTCAGGGTTCGAACCTAGATCACCACGCGTCTCCAATATTAATAAGCAACACGCTCCCCTACAAGCTAGGACCCTCACTTGCGACGACTGCTATTTCGTCTGCTACAGTGAGGGCCGGTCGCTGTTCAGGGCGTTACTGTTTAACGCCATCTCGGTTGGTCCTAATTGCTAACCTTTAAATATGATTGTAAAAATTTCCACATAAAGTCTGCGTATGCTTGAGTTACAGTTCTCCTTTCTCGTTCGCTTTACCTCTTCTTCTATTAGTAATTTATTAACGCTTATAGCGGTTACTGCGGCTGCTTCCGATCAAAACAAGTTTCTCCTCTCGTCTGTATCTGTAATCGTCGACAGTGCAGTCGTCGCTTGTGTTTGAACCCATTGTCGCAGCTGCTGATGGCGTTTGTTTTCGTTTGGTGGGACCAACAAACCCCGCAGATCGTTCCCGAAGTAGTTCGATCGTTTGTTGTCGGTCGAAAGATTTAGCCCGCCCGCCTCGTGCTGTTTTCGTCGCCTCTTTCTGAGCATCACGCGTACAACAATTATCCCGCCTGAAACCGCTAACTTCATCAGTTGGCAGTGTAGACGTGTTGAAGGCGCAAGTGTTTCCGGCCGGTGACCGGTTCCTTAGGTTTATAAATTCTCCGTGGTGAACTTGTGATCAGACTGCTTAAAATTGTATAGCGCACCTACGTAACAGCATCACAACATCAATATGAGTAAATCAGCACCTCAGCGAACATCTGGATGGCCAACGCGCGGTAATCCGCAAGCACAGTATCAAGGCAAATATATGGCCTCGAACCCGTCTAATGTGCTTAGCTTCACGCTTAATCGGACTGTCAACCTGTGAGTATTATAGCTTGGTTTAACCACAGCCCAGGTATCCTCATAGCACCTCGAAATCCATCCAGTTGAAATACTACCCGCATGCTTTCTGATATCAGTTTATTCGTAACACATCCTTTTATATAAATTTAAGAAATAGCCGTAGAAAAAAGCGTATTTGTGTCCTATTGTTTTATAAGTCTTTAATATAGTGATATGTCTCCTTTATGGCCGGCAACTGTTTTGAAAAACATAAACTTTTTATCAGTACTGTATAGGTAGTCTTGCGTCTAAATATACACTTGTATATCATATAAGTATATTATTTAAGAATATACTGTTTTTTTTATCTGGTTTGGTTAAAATTTTTAACCCAACAGAGCTTTTAAGTATGGGTTTTTTCAGCGTAATTCATATTCGTTTACCGAAAAAAATAATATGACTATATTTAGCTTTATAAAAGTTAAGCACTAAGCTATGATTTTTAACCGAGTTTCCCGGCCATATACATGTGTAGTAGAGACAAGGATAAATAAAAACAAGGTAGTCACACTTGATGATGCGTCAGTGCAGTGTCTAAAGAATGAATGAACTTAATGAAAATGAAGAAATAGAATAGATCAGGTTAAACTAAGTCAATTTTTGTTATATGCTAATTTTATTACTTATTTTATGAGCTCTCGTTTTGGTTGTCAAATTGGTCAAAAAAACAATGGCTATTACTAATAACAGAGGTGCAGTAATTGTACATTACTGGATTACACGGATAGCACATAAATCATAAACCCATCTCTTTGGCTAATATGTCGGGTTAAGTGTTTGTCTACCAGAACGACGATATTTATTAGTTATAGTCAACTGAACATTATTATTACGAAAGATCAAATCTAATATTCTTCGCGTAACTATAAAAAATTATATGTTCGATGCGGTGGATTTTCTCGTATTTATTTTGGAGATGTACAGTTTGCAATATTGTAAGGATATTTTAACTAATCAAATTTACCTAGTGCAGCATGAAGGCAAAACCTAGGTAATTGATTTCAATGAAATCTCTGTAATGTACAGAATGTGATAATACCTTATATTTAATAATCATAACATTGTTTGTTATAATCTTTCAGATACCCATTAACAAACTATACGTTTGGTACCAAGGAACCATTGTATGAAAAAGACCCTTCGGTGCCAGCCAGATTTCAACGCATGCGTGACGAATTCGACAAAGTGGGCATGCGGCGATCTGTTGAAGGAGTCTTGCTTGTACATGAGCATGGACTTCCACATGTTCTTTTGCTTCAACTGGGTGCTACCTTCTTCAAACTGTATATTTTTAAATGCAATAATTTCTATACTAAATATATTTAATAACATGTTAGATTATGATATAACGATTTACTGCCTGCTGAGAAGTAGTATGATGCTAAAGGTGTACCTTGGTTCGGCAATCTTTATTTCGTGTTAACACATCAATCTAACTCAAAATATATTGTCTAATACTGGCTAAATAATTGTTAACAAAGATAAAGTAGTTTTCCTAGGTTTGTATAATGAAAAATACCGGAAATACCATTCATACCTTAAAATGCTTCAGACAAAGAAACCTCTTCTATCTATCAAATAGAAATGTGTTAATTGATATTAAATCTATCTCTCCATACATGCTCAGTTCAGCTGTACAGTTACGAATTTTATTGCATTACAGCCCTGGTGGAGAGCTTAACCCAGGAGAGGACGAGGTTGATGGTTTGAAGCGACTCATGACAGAGGTAAATGCAAATCGAATAACGAATTTTTTCTCAAAAAAGTTGTATTCATTTTTAGAAGCAGGATCAGAACAACGGAATAATAAACGGAACCGAATAATTCTATTCCACTATTAAATCAAAAGCCAGATGTTCAAGTAAAAAGGTTTTATTATGATTTACGTTTAACGGTTAATATCGCCTTGTGCACATCCGCAGTCGAAGTATCTGTATAGACAGACAGAGTGAGAAATAGTCGGCAAGCCACTTCCTATTATGTCGTAATTATTCAAGTTTTGGTGAATCAACTGGTGATAGTGTAGCTGCTGATAATTTTAATTATTTATTATTATTTGTATTGTATGACACTAGACGCTGGGGCGGCAGGATGGTGTGAAACAGGATTGGACTATCGAAGATGCGGTTGGAAATTGGTGGAGGCCAAATTTTGAGCCTGCACAATATCCATACATTCTTCCCCATATAACCAAACCAAAGGAGCACAAGCGATTGTTCTTAGTTCAGCTTCAGGAGAAAGGTATGCCGCAAACACAATCAGTACTTACAAATTTGGATTTCTATCTCAGTTAAGTTTTACCGATTCCAGTTACCAATTCAGTTATCGTCGATAATTATAACTCACATACATACCATGTGCATTAGTTATAATTGAGTTATTAGTAACTAGAAATGCGGCAGTGAATATTATAAGCAGCGGTCATAATCATGAAGTGAATGTATCTGACCAGAGACTAAAGCAGTTTCGTTCGGCAGTCTGCTAGTCAGCTCCCGAGAAACGAGAGGACGATATTCAGACATCTGATGGAGAAAGCCGAATGCAATCTAACGGATTTGGCAAGAGGGCGACACACAAAAATGACAAAAAAGTAGGGAACTCGGTTCATTCCTATAGCTGGCGACGAAACTGGCACAACCGCGACATTCTACATTCAAATGTCGAATACCTGTCATATCTGTTTATTATTTACAGTGGTACACGTAGGTTGAAAGTGTCAGTGTATTGTAGAGTTCTATATATGAACGAAATATGTACAAAGACGTTGACTACTTATGGAAAGTTGAGTAGATTGTAATTGCCCGCTGTTGTCTTCTATCCTGGCTAATAGTCACGACTTGCATAAATCGTTAGAATATAATCACTAATAATACATGCACATGGAAAGTATGGGGCTCTCAGAAGATAAATGCTTAAAAATTGAAGGCTGATTATGTTCAAACATTTACCTATCAAGAGAATCGCTCATCTAGGAACAGTGTGCTTAGTGGTTCTTTTATTTGAGCCGTATTGAATTTGAGTAAGATGTTCCTTATCGGCTGTTTATATACCTGAAACTCCACGGATATTGATTGACTGCGTGCATAGGACGTTTTGAAAATAATGTTGCCTGTTATTTAGTCTAATGTACTTCATTGAATCATATTGTGCTCATCTCTAATTTGCTCGCCATCAAATAGAAATTTTCTGCGAACTTGCGCATCAATATGTGCTCAAGAAAAATGCATAGTACGAGAAAAGTTTGGATCCGAATACAAATTATATATACATAAATATATGTTTAGCTGGCCTTCTAGAAGAAACTTGGCTTTTGCATTCAAGTTCGGCGACAAATTGCTTATTGAGATTTGCCAAATCGATGCTAATGACGAAATGAAGCAAGATATGTATCTGCGTTTTTGCCAAAACCGAGTGATTGTTATAAGTAAAAACAGGACACACTGACTTAAATCTCTAGAAGAGGTATTCTGCTTTTTTGGAGTTTAAACAGCGCATTTTGTGTACATATGTATGTATAATTTTCGAGTAGAAGCCTTTCGGCGCCGATACCGGTTCAATAGGCAATCTTGCTCACAGTGCAATGTTTAGGGTTGTTATTTAATTCTGATCGGTCGGTTTTGACAGAAGAGCTGAAGAATGAAAAGAGAGCGAAGTAGTTTTTTGTTATTTGTGACAGAATACGTTATTGAGTAAGAAGTTTAACGCACCGTAATTGCCATTTGACAGAATTGTCAAATTTCTAGTTTAAAATTGCAAAATTACTGAGCATTTTTTACAGCACTATTAACTATTTTTCGGTTCGCAGACGGGCGCGTGTATAGAAAAATTCATATCTTATTCTAAAATTTTATTTTGTATCCTTTCATTCAGCTATTATAGTGTAGTTTTAAATAGACGATGACATACGCGTAATGAGCAACCGCTTTAGCTGAAGCCGAAGTGCAGGCTCGAATCGAGAAAGGACTGTACAAACAATTATTCATACAAATTGGGTAGTTTTTACCATAAAATACGCGGAGCAGAGGTATGAATGTTTTCTCTGTACTAAATGTAGGAAAACCTGTAATGATGTATCATGCTTTTTGATGCCTGGCTTGGTAAAGAACCGAAATATGGCAGTAATATGGTGTATAGTGTAACTATTCGTATGACCCCAATAGTTTTATGGTAATATGGTGTATAGTGCAATTATGGTAGGTCCTGAATTATTTTATGAACCTTAAATCGACTACTTCAGGCACCGCCTCAGCGTGGCTCGCAAAGCCGTCATATGTGTGGTGTAGGATAGCGTACCGGGTTTATGCCAAGTCGCTATGAATGTGTGTATGCATTTGCAAGCTTTAATGCTAAATTGTATAGCATTTATGGGGTGTGACAACCTCTAGTCTCTTTTAATCACAGGCTTAACCGACATCCAAGTGACAAGGTCGATTCTTTGCATAAGCCATGCACATGCTCCATTATGATGAATTGAGATGTACAGTACAACAGGGACTCGTGCATTTTGATACAAGCCAAACTGGGCTGGCAAATTAAAGGCCCGTGATTCTCTCGTACTGTTCATTTCTTAGCGCAAACGACATTAACATCGTACTCTATTAAACTACTCGTAAGTCAATTAACATTTTGCTCAAGATAAAATATTTTCGAATTGTGTAACTTATGCGCGTACGAGTCGTCAAAGGCACCGAAGCTGGCATCTAATTTGCAAAAATAACATGTAATTCAACATGGTACAAAGGTAAAGCAATGTATGGTCGTTAAAGTAAGCTAAGAAACATAATTTTTTCCCCCAATTGATATCTGTCCCTAACAGAGTGTGTGCTTATTGTAACATAGTAATAATGATAACAAAATTGCTGCTATTTTTAAAGAAAATGTTATAAACGATGTAGAGCATTGCTTGAAAGACTACATTTTCCCTTTGTACTATGCCGGTGATACATTGAGATAAGATTGCTATGCTATCCTATGTATAATATTGCGTTATTACATCTACAATGTCAATATTCATACAGCATTTTCAACGTAGTCCACTACAACTTGCGGCTAGTGGCTTGAGACACAGTGACGGCTTTAACGTTATCAGGGCTTTTTTTACGGACCTCTCAGGTGCTTATAGCAATTATCTGCTGAAACAGAAAGGTCTATTTGACACGGTCACATGGCGACGTGTAAGTCTAGGTTATAAATGATTCGTTTTGTACACAAGTATTCACCATAATGGAGTAACTTGCATAGCCACAAACTTTATATGCGAATGTGATTGTCTAGCCGCACTACACGTACACATACTCAGTAGGAGCAAGAAACGTTTACCAATTCATAGTGTTTAGCATTTTTCCCATCGATTTTTCCCACTTCGATTACCAAAATAAAGCATTCTGTAAGAGGAACTGAAATCTATATTGTAATAGAAGTGGACAATGGAGTTGTCGCCATTGTTCTGATATAACAGCATCGTATGTACGTTGTATGCAGATAATAGCATTTGTCACTTATCATATGGCCTTGTATACTCCCGATTTGCGTGACGTCTGCTCAAACAATGAAGAAAAGAAACAATGACAAAAGCAGTCTGGCTTATAGCATTTAAAACACACAGAGTTACTTTAATTAAGACTGCAAGCAAATTCTCGGAAGTACTAAAAGCAATAAGTTAGAAGAAGGAATACGTGTATCTTGCGGGAATTTGTTTAGGCATAAAAAGAATTCGCTCATGTAGATGCTTAAAGATTGAATCGCAATAATAGCGTAAGGCATTGTTCATTTTATCAATTGTGATATGTTTGCAACAATCTTCAAGACAATGTTTTAAAGTAGATCTACCTTGTGATCACTACCTTGTGAACCATACTAATATCATATACGTCCGCCAAAGGTAACTTCTAACCCGTCTAACTGCTAACCGTTACAGCGCTGTTTGCTGTTCCGAAAAACTATAAGTTGGTGGCCGCACCACTATTTGAACTATACGACAACTCTCAGGGATATGGACCTATAATCTCATCTCTGCCGCAGACTCTCAGCAGGTACCCGAATTCAGTTGCTATTTCAATTAATTTTGAGCTGTCGCGACGCAACGAAAATTATTGTTCTTGACATTGGCTTTATTACCATAGTTATATCTGCTACTTCTTCAAAAGCAATACTTAATCTCTAACGTGCTCCTATATCGTTCGATTGCAGATTCAATTTCATCTATTTGTAAGTCAACAAGTCTGTTGAATCTCTCTCGTAGAAGGGTGGCACAGTACAGGAAACCTTCTGTTGTATATACTTCATTCGTTCCGTGTCTTCTATTGTAAATTACAAAGGACTCACAAGTAATTGCAAGCTTATGAAAATGAAAAATCTTATAAAACCTATCCCATATAATACATATATACACTATACAATATATAACTAAGGAGTGTCATTATTGGTCCGAGTTAAATTTGCATGTATATTAATTTGCGTTTTTCCCACAGAAAGCCCAGATGCCAATTTGCAGGTTTAAATTATCGCTCTTCGCATTATCTAAATTTCTATTTACGCCTTTATGGTATTATTGCAACCATTGCGCCAGATGACTTGATAATTACACCAGAGCATAGCCATTACGGAAGAAAATCGTTAAACAGCATGCGATATGTGATCTTATAAGGATATGACAAAAAATACACATATATAACATTATATATCAGTATATTTATTGATTTTTTCAACGACTAACCGAGTCATATACCATAGCAGTCATTGGTACTTTCATTCGCCGGCTCCGTCTCGCTTTGATATGTATGTATGATTAGAATACGCTAATGAGACCAAAAACGGATTTAGGGAAAAAGTCTGTCAATTATGAATTTAGGTAAAGTCTCGTACATCATGAGGACTTCAGTTCTATCGACCAATCTGTAAACTCCCTATGAAACTAAATAGGAACTTGTTGGTTGGAAGTAACACAACAAATCATACCGTTATAATATAGCAATACCACAATCACGTATTGCTGCCTTTTAGCAGCAGGAACGTACTGATCGCAAAATATAGTCACTACGGCAGTTGTGCCACGTCATCCGAGCTCTATTAGTGATATGATGATTGTAGATCTTATAACAGGCTGTTAAAGCCATACACGCAGTATCATTTTCAGTAAGACACTTATCATCTGCATCTGTATTTGTCTTATATATCAAGTGAGCCATTTTAACGCCATCCTGAAAGACTCGTAGCTTACACTTAAAACAACGGTGGCATTAGTCGCTTATCGATCAGTTACTGTCGTCAGCGGAATTGAAATAGCAGCACATGGACACAAGGCCCGGCCCGTCTAGCTCATATCAGCAACCCGAACGTGTTCTTCCCGAACCTTTATTAATTCTCATCGGCACCTTAAGTTTAAGCGGTCTTAAGTTCAATTACAAATTTTAGTACTAGCGGTCATGAGGCCCTGATTGCATAAACGGAGGATCGCTACATGTTGTGCAATGCCCCCGATAAAAATTACCATGCCATTCGACCACAATTACATCCCCAGACGCTGTACCTTTTGTCGTTCTATTGTAATTGGTTAAATTCCTAACGTTTGTGTTTACACATTGCTGCGCTTCAATACATTCCAGTTATTATTTCATATTTTCAACAATGAAACAGTATCATCAAATCTATTCCTAAGAGCGCAAGCGCTTTGTCAAAAAAACAAAATAAGTGTCTGGTTCTATCTGCAATGTCAGAATAACAATCTACTGCCTATATAATGAGAACGTCACCATATGGTAATTGTATATTAGCTTAAATAATAAATCATTAGGCTCCAGACTTGAAAAAGGTTGAAATCAATATTAATTTGGAACGACTCCTGTTAAAATACTATACACCGTAAAACACCATAATAAAATACCATAAATAAAAATAATACCATCATCGTTTCAGCACACTGCTTGCCACGTTTAAGACCTCACAATCAAGAAATTAGCGGTTACAAATTTAGTTTGAATTGTCTATACAAGAATGTTAGTAATGAAGACAAATGGTTGACCATTATCGAGCCTACAAAATTTTGTCATAAAGATACGTAAACAAGTTTACCGTTTACTGCACGACGGAGTACAAGTTTAGTATTTGTTGATAAGTAACAACCGAAATAGTGTCTTAGCGTATACAGCAATTTAGTTTTTCTTGAGTGCGTTACCTCAAACGTGAGCTTGTGTATTAGCGGCCCGTAGACTTATTGATAGTTTGTAGTGCGGTCCTGTGCCTCCTGGAATCTGGGCTGTCTTATGTCAGGAAGCGTAATTTACGCAGCACATTGTTGTTTATTTTCCTAGATTTGTGGGGTAAATTTATTGGACACAGGATATGATAAGAGCGCTTACAAAACAATTTCACCTCGTGGCCGGTAAAACCATTGACCCTTAAGTATCCTGCGTCTAATCTCATGGCTTAGCATGTCTAACTCTTTCGACACTTTCTTCAATAAGGAATTGTTCTCAACAGCCCGTCGAGACAGATATGGCATTACCTGAAAAAAAAACATACATTTTTTGTCCCCTATATAACTAAAGTGACCACGCGCTGCAGAAGAAAATTATATTTACCGTGTTTTTTCGTGATAATTACATATCGTAAAAAGAACGGGGTAACAGCCATAACAGGAAAACAGTCAAGAGTTTTTTCCGTGTCGTAATCGAAAAATAGTTGTATTTTATTAATATAAAATAATAATCCATTTAGGTTTACTTTAGTTTTGAAACGAGTGTCAATACCGCTTTAAATAGTGACAAGTTACTTCGAAAGCGAAACCGCAGACACTTTAGATGTGAGAAGTAACAGATTTAATACAAATGATCCGCAGATTTATTACAACTTGGCTGGCCGCTGTTTATATAAATTTATATATAGCATAGAAGTGTAAAAAGGTTATATACAGACCTCGTCGATTGGCCCGTAGGGCACGTACTTGTAAACTGAATACCCAGCTTGTCCTGAAAGAAAAGTCATATCATTACCAGCCAGCATAACAATATGTCTGTTTTGGTCGACCAACCAGTTACGCGGTGCCTACTTTGTTCCTACACACAAATAACAAATGTCAAACTCAAGCTGAACTACCTTAGCTCTACACAAAAAATAGACTGGTCAGTATGCTCTACTTATAAAGCTCATTTGCAGTAACTGCTGGAATGGGCGAAGCCAAATAATATTGTCGCCTGTACTATAGAGAAATTACTGTAACTACCGTTTCACTGCTCAAATAAGCTATTTTTCTAATATGAATAATTTTTAGGCAGATCCATTAATTTGTGGATACGAAAGGGAAGAAGCATAGATTAAACCAGCTCTTACCATTCCTATAGACCCTTATTAATTTGTCAAACTCGTGCAGCACTAATACATCTGATGGTGGGAGCAGACTATATTAAATGCTAAATCTTTACCAAGTGGAAAGCTGACTTGATCGCACATTCCCAGAAGTTGCCCGAAACAAACAAGCCGTTCACCACGTCCGATGCCAAGCTCCTTCATCCGCTGGACGGCGTAGCGAATTGTATTCTCATTGTGCGTCGCGCACATTACAGAGATTTTGCCATTCTTCTTAGACGCCACAATCTCACTTAAAATTAAATCTAGTACCTACAAAACATGCGAAAATAGTTGTTTAAATTGCAAAACGCAGCTTAGCCACGTAAATTTGATAATAACACTAACAGCTGCTAAATGGACATCAACAATCATAATTTACCGAAAAAACACGATAAGCATACCTGCCTCCACAACTCAGTAAGCTTCAAAGCCACAGAGATAATCTAGAGTTAGCACAAAACGTAATACCTTATGATACATTTCGTTAGTGGCTTCATACGACTCGTTGATAGGATCTTCATAGCCGACTGTTACCGCACGAAGTCTTTCCTGTTCCATGTATGCACCTCGAACAATCTTTGCAGAAAAGCAGAAATTTTGTCTTTTTGATAATTCAATATCGCGCTGAACGTACTCAAATGCCTCCTTGAGGTAGCACTGATAAGTATTGAAGACGATGGGTTTTTCTTTGTTGTACTTTCGCATTAGCTCAACTGTAAGCCGTGAGATAGCCGGCTGGAAATAGGTCTGTTCCGCATCAACCATTACACGAACACCGGCTGCCTGAGCATGCTCGGTAATCGTATGTACGCGTCGCATCATGTTCCTATGGCAACGAAATGATACAACTTGCATTCAGACGCAAGACAAAATAAATACTAACACTAATCTACAAAAATACCTACTTCCATGCTAGTAATATATACATAATATATATGTATTGACCGTATTACGCTATTCTATAATGCTAACAAACAGAAGCGGCGTATTTTAGGTAGGTTATGCGCACTTCGTGTGTTGGTGTGGCAACTATAAAAATACGAGCATGTTGCCACACTGATTCAAATCTTATGTTTGCAAAAATTATCATTATATATTTATAATCAAGGAAATATAAATGAAAACATAAGCCACAAAGAAAATTAAATTCTAAATAATATTTAAGTTCATGTGAAATAAATTTTTAAAATAATCCTTAAGGACAAACAGCATTAGTAAAATCTGTGACAAAGTAGTGTCGTTTTATTTGAGCCCATATATGCGCACAAACCACTTTCGAATTCGTCTGATAGAACTGTCTTTTTCCAGGAAATTCCCCCAAATGCCAAATAGAGCCAAATTAAGAAATTAATAAATTTTACTAGCTTCTGGCATAATTCTCGTTCATACATCTGCGCGTCGTAGGATTACCTGAACATTTCTTCCTCTTCCTTTGTGAGTGCCGAGAAAATGGGTTCCATTTTCCCGGTCTGAAGGTTAGGTACCTTGAAAAGGTCTGAGATCATGCAATTTGTGTCCACCAGACCACTCCACGAGAAGATATTCATCAACCTAGATTGAAATCACAATTCTCCTGGTTAAAATTGACATGTTATTAAAAAATAAACGGAGAAACGACGACTAATTATAATTATAAAGCTCTGTTTTCGAAGTAATTTTAGTATATATACGGATACCTTCTCTCCGTATTATTGATCATAACAGCAAAAATATATAATACAATTTTCAATAACAAATTAAGTATTAAGTAGTATATATATTATATGCTTCTAATTTTCGTAGAAAATTGCAATTTTCTAATGGTTTTATATTTTACAATGCAAAAAATGTATCCTCAAGACTAATGATGCACATATCTTAGGATCTGCTACCTCGTTGTATAGTGCGACTTAGGTTATTTAGAATGATAAAAAAAAATACTTTGAATATGACTGGATATTTTCTAAATCAACAACAAAAATTAAATGTACTTTCTTTATAGTCTGTGTGCTTATGTATATAGATTACTCTTTGAATAATATCTACTAGACAGGACAGAGTAAATGTCACCACGTTCGAGGTAAACATCGATGGGTAGCTGTGATTTTTGGGACAGTTGAAACACTTCTCCGCAAGCACGCCTCTCTATGAAGGTTGTAAACGCAGGGAGTTCTGGCTAAAGCTCTACGTTGAAGACCCAACAAGTCTTCAACGAGAAGATTTTAGCTGTTGTAGTCCACTAACCCCTTTTTATCGTAATCCATTCGGTCAAGCCATTTTCGGTACTCTTCCTGGTCCTTGTCAATTCTTAATTGTTGCTCGATTTGCTGCGGAGAGACTTCCTCAAGAACCATCGTTTTTGCCTTTCCAGTCAGCTTACGGAATAACTTACGAGTATAAACGATAACCTCTGACAGTTGCATCTATAAGCAAGACGGCAAACCATAATAAACAAAACATTTTGCATCTATTGCACAGAACAGTGCTATCACTAGAGAAATTCCCAAATAAGGTAGTTTCCTTTTCAGAGAGATGGGCAAGCTGAACGGTTGCCATAGATATGACGGAATCAGATGCGACAAACCTCTTCTTTAACATTCATAACGTCAGCGGCGCCGGCTGATCTAAGTTTGAAGTGTCAATAGAATAAATCAAGGTTGTGGAGTCTAACCAGAAGTTGAGGTCGTCCAAGCGCCGTAAGCTTAATGGCGGCAAGTCCGGTTCCACCCGTTCCTGCAACTGCGTCGACAGACTTAAGAAAAATTGTCGTATTCTTTTCACATTGTGCTTCATTCAGGTAGAAGTAGGTTCTGGAAATGATACAACACGTAAAATTTGTATTGAAATTATACGTATTTGAGCCAAACAAAAGCAATAGCTCCAATGAAAATGATTTACGATATATCTATATAGTATGCGCTTTCATTCCTTTTCGAACTGAGAAAACCTCACCTAGCAGTGACATGATGGCTGCGTCGATCGGCGAATTTCTGCTGCGGCTGAAACTGGGCTAATTTACCTCCTAAAGGACTGCCCTCGGAATTTGGGGTATCTTGGAGTACAGAAACTGGAGCTCGTAGAGGCGACGAGGAGCCCGACGAGTAGTATCCGGCCGCAGATGTGAGAGACGCCATCTCTAAGTTTGTCGCCTTTTCCTTACTTTGTACATTGACACAGAAAAGAAATTTCGTTATCATCGTTATCCAAATCAACTAGAGTTGATATTCCATTTGAAAATCCAATTGCACTTGCTGTACCTCAGCAACAACCACTTTTTTTTTGGTATAAACGTGAGACGTTAAGCATTTGCGAAGGTTCGAAGCCTGACTTTTTTCTCTTTCTTCTTGTTTTTGAAATCTTTCGATACCCACATCGATGTGACGATTATACTCCCGGGGTTCTGAGTATTTTGGGAGTGAAATAAGCATTTTTGCGCACCGTATGCGACGTTAATGTCTAGTTCGTTCATCGGAATATATATATGTAGAAAATGTAATCAATACCACGTCTGGAGACGCGTTTACTAGAGGATTGAGTCAGCGCCATGTTTAGGCTTTACTTCATTTAAAAAATTGTTCTTTAAATCCTAAACACTATTATCTGATTTACTAACTGATTTTCTATAAACTTCGTGTCAAATGGTAGCCAAACTTAAAATCTACTACTGAATAACTATACTTTTCAAAGTGACTCTTTTAGATAACATTTGGCAAGATTTGTTACCGTAGAGCTGAGCTCTAGTACGTCGATTTCTCATCGCTCGACAATTTCATTATAGCTGAGGTTTCCACAAGCCAGTACAAATAATCCACATTCGATTTTGGAGTGTAGCCATCACAAACTACATAATTGTAGCACTGCCAAGAGTAAATATATCGAAGAACGATAATAATTATAAGTGGAGCTTTTTTAATATTGACGAGACTGCATTCAAGTCATAACAACAAATATAACAAACTCATTTTTTTCCTAACCTGCTTGTAGATATATATTCTTGTGCTAATATATAACAATAACAATAGTACGATACATACCATGTATATAATGAGTTGGATGTGAGTCCAGAACGGAAATACAACATAATGTGTGAGTACGCCTACGTGTCACTGCATATTACCTCCCTCATGCAAAGCCCACCAAAACAAACTACTACATGCAAGTATTAAGTTGGCTTACAAATTTCCGTGGACTTTCTCAAGAACTTGTCGTCTTTTCCACTTATATATCTATCGTTTAGCCCTGATATAACGTTCGAAAACGCTTTTTTCTGCCCCATTTTCTCTAGAGTACTTTTATTTGAAAAGAACTCCTTAAGGACGAATGTTCCAGGTTTAACAAACTGTATTTTTGATTCCTTCTGTATTACGCGTTTCATCAAGGCTAGATTGCTACCAAAACAGGCCGGAACATTTTCTTCGTGCATGCTAATGGCGGTAACGTTGTATTATTGAAGTAGCCAGTCGTTGATCGGACATCTATTTGGCCCATTTGTATCGAGTCAGCCATGCTACAGAGGAGAAACGAGCCGACAGACGAAGTACAGTCATCCTGTTTCATAGTACACGCGGCAAACATCGTTAAATATGCTCTCGTGGACTTCAGATGGGAGATTTCTTGCACCCTCCATTTCTTCAAACCTAGCGCCAACGAACTTGCACGTTTTCTCTTCATTAGGAAATCACCTTATTTTCTACATGGATTAGTAACTCTCAACGTCATTGGGAAATTATTATATATTAAAAATCTGGCGTCTTCATACATGTTTTAATGTAAAAATAAAGGTAATGAAAAATGATAATTATTATTACGGGATTAAAAAATTCCACCCAATCTCATGGGAATTCGTTATCCAGTCTGATGTTAAACACTCTACGGTGTACAATCATTAAAACAGATACTAAAACGGATATTTCCGATTAATTATTATTCATACACTAATATAGATTAACTTCTAACTTACCTTAGAATGAAGCACGTACCACTGGTTTCTATTTCTAGCAATTTTTTATTTTTTATTCTATGTAAAATATGAACATTGCCACAATAACTATTGACCATTGCACTATAACAGATCGATACGAGGCTCCGTCCACCGAATGTAGAAGCAAAGTTTGAAGAAAAATTGCCTAGATTACGAGTAAATTGAGGACAATGAACTTGAACAGGAGGTATAAAACGGCCATTCGAATACATATCACGCAATTACGTTATTAACAGACATTCATTACTCCACATAGCAGAATTCTGTATTATCATTAGTTACTAATACGCAAGCGTTAAGAATTCAGTTAAAATATGCAGATGTTAAAGTCATTCACTTTTATTTGCTTCAAGCTTTTTATCTAGATCACATTGCATCTCTTGCATTATAAACACGGTCTTTAGTGATGTTATTTATATAGTTGCCAGTAACAAACGAAAGTTTAGCACTCGCAGAATCTTTTGCAAGCTTAGAACGCTCTATATTCGGTTTGAAATTCGCAGCGTAGGGGGAGCTGCATTGACCCAATTCGGTGGTCGGTCTGTATATGAGCATTAAGGTATGGTTGGATCATCCAGCAAATAGGTAGAATGAAATACGCAAAAAAATGAAAACCAACCTGCGAATTATAATGTCTTCGTTACAAATTTAAGGTATAGGATTGCATTCAAGTTGCACACTTCGCGGCTGCTCTTTCAGCTAAGTAGCTGGCATATACGCATGAGTTCTACTGAAAACCCGAACATGAGTAGTCAGCCTTAATGCAGTGTACTATATTTCTATGCCAATTAAGCATTAATCTAAACACTAGTTCAGCGCACGATTAAACGCCACATCGAAATGGCTAGCTATCTTGCAATATTTGGAAACCCGTGTTATCGTCCAAAATACCACGTAACATCCACACACTCGACAGATTAAGCTGTAGTCGTAAATAATCGTTTACCTCAGGTCTTCCTCTGCACTATAATCGAGAATGCTCTTCACCCCGAAGCTTTTAAGTCGCTCGACCATTGGTTTAATAGCTTCCTCCGACTCCCCTCCTACAAAATGTCCGTAGAAGGTTTTTCGCATCACAATACGGAACAACGATTTTCCAAGGATCTTCTGGCCAAGAACCATTAACTGAAATTTATGTAAATATAGTAAAACCTTTTTAATCGGGTTTTTACGTTCTCACATACAATTTAGGCAAATTCTGACGAGAAAAGCATCTAGCGATGGTGAATAGAGCTTTGATAATTTTTAATACAAACCACTAGATAATATGAACATAGAACAATGAAGTTCGATAGAAGAATCGATTGGCTGTTTCATATTGAACATTCAGATCACTAGCTGACTCAAAATCTTATGCTAACAATGTTTAAGAGCAAGAATTCTTCGTCGTTCCCCTAATTCTCACCATAGATTCTGCTTTGGTCGAACGTGAGCTAGATGTACCAGAAAAGCCATTAAAAGGTTGCTGGTGACTTGTGTATAGGGGGCCTAAGACATTCACATGGACGCTTAGCCGACAAAAAAATTCACGCCCTCACCTCATGAGGACTTGTGCCGGGGTGTTTAGAAAGATATCTGTAGAACCCTCGAACTCGCTAGCTGGGACCGTTTCCTCCCTATTAGTTACTGAAGTGAGGGGGATCCGTTGTCTCTTCAGGAGTTTTGTTGTTTCTTCAGTTCTACAATAAAATGCGTCCGCGTACCCCCAACGGGTCTCCCTCGCCTCCAGATCCCCACCACCATGAAGAAATAGTCATCGCCCTTCTAATGCTTACGTGGATTAGTAGTACAGCCAATACTAACTATTAATCACATATATCTGCCGTCGTATTAACCACATGGTACCATATAACTTAACTAAGCCAACAGGTACAGTTAAAAGCCGATTACTACGACGCACTACGACAGTGGCGAATGAGGCGTTCGAATACATCAGATGGTCCAGTATTTAGCTTGTGTGAGCAAAATAAATGTCTAAACTCTATTCTCTTATTTTACCAAACCATTGCGGGAATATCGCCAGTATGTGTGTGTCAGTACTCTTGACCTGCTAGAGACATGCTAAACTCAGTAGACTACCAAACTAACAATGATTAATCGCTTAATAATAGCAATACACATTTAACGAACGTTTTATTTTAGGAATTAAGTGGTTCGACGGTGTCGTTACTACAGACTATGAACTCGGGTTTTAGGCACGGGAAAAGTGGTTGAGAATTTGAAACGGCGACTCCATTGCAGTTCAAAAGTGGCTTTCGACAGACTCGTAATATCCCTCTACCGTATCGCCGGTAAGCCATGGCCTAATACTCCATCTTAAAGTACCCAAATCTGCACTACCGAAACGTAAATAGCATTTTACTAAAATACTGTGAGTGCTTTAGAAGAGCAGAAGTGTTCCGCGTGCAACAAAATGATTTTATCAGGTTAACGTTTTTCTGGAATATATAGCACGGCTTACGTTGTAACATTTTTTAAGGTCTTTATACGTTATTATTTATGCTAAACAGAGAGAAGCATACGTTTGTGCGCTCTGCTTTGTCCCATTACTCACCGAAAATTTTAATATAACTAATCCAGTTTCTTTTTTAAATAATTTGTAAAGGAATGCAGCAAGTACATCCTCTATGACTTCGATGGGGCATACTAGATAAAACCTATTGAAGTGCCTACCTTTTGAAGTGCATGTTGTCCCAGGTGGGACAAGCGTGGGCCTCTGCAGTGTCAAGCGACGAAGATCACGCTATAAGAGATGAAGATTGAATACTTTTCAGATAATATGCATCTGTAAAAAGAATTATCCCGAAATTTTATAGATCAGTCTAGGTCGGCCTGTGCTATTCTGAGTGTAGCTGGCAGCTGCGCTGTGGCCACCAAACGTCGCCACTCTCATCGTTTCTCCTGGTCCCCTGGACCTATGGTCTCACCCGCGATCACAGAGATCTCTGTAGAAAAATCTCGCCAGCGCTGCGCCATCAACAGTAAATTTGTTAAGTATTTCCACTGCACGATTAGTCTTTTTTTACTGAGAATGTGTAATAATATACGCTGCGTCAATCTTGTCGTATCTATGATATCCACGCGTAGTTAAGCGATACAGACATTTTCTCTTTTATTTTCTTTTAAAACTTTCAGTTATTCTTTCTGTGTAAAAAGGTCTTGGAATCCAATCTTTTATTCTTTCTGTGTAAAAAGGTCTTGGAATCCAATCTTCGGTATACCATCAAGGACATGCCCCGCTGGAAAGGCAGCCGACGTTAGTCCTGCCCGACTTATTTGGTATTTCACCAATCGTAGTCCCTGTATGTCATAGTAACCGTTCGTCAACGCTAAAGTACGAACCACCAATGTCCGCACATTGAGGATTACCGTCGTTTTTTAACGGTACGTATTTGAAATAATTTTATGGTGCAAAATAAGTTGGCACGAGCATAAGTCAGCAAATTTAGCATGTTTCAAACAAAACGTTGTCGATGACGTATATTAATATCGAATGGGAGGTCTAAGCACTTGCTGAACGTTAACTTTAAATATGATGTTTGAAATGAAGGTGCTTTATATGAATGTTAGAGTTACAAGCTTTATTATTGATTGCAAAGCTTGTAAACATTTTGCGAGTATACATATATTTCCAGTTGCCGACGAAATCTTTCTATAAGCCGAATATATAAACAAAAATCTCTGATATACCACGAAACGGCATAGATAATCCAACGCAAATCATTAGCGATTGTACATCAAATAAACGAAATTCTAAAAAGAAAGATTTAGGACACCTTCCTATTGATGATCAAACAAAGAAAATCAATCGCTACGTTTCCTAGTTTTGTCAGATATCTTGCTATTCATTCAAATTTTCCAATCACTACACGCATCATCGATAGTTCGGAATGTTCTCTAACTAATGTACTAGTTTTCTCCAAACTTGCTAATGCATGCCATATATATATATATATATTGTTCAAGTTAGATTACTTGATAAAGAATCATATATATATATATATATATATATATATGAAATAAAGAAATCTAAAAGAAGAAAAGATGTCTCGAATGTACAGTGACTGTGAGTGTGTTCTGTGTACTGCAAGCTATGTGAATTGACGTATCCGAGATGAAAATATTATCGGTTCGAATACAGGTATACGGTTATAATACAGTATTTTTTGCAGTACTATTTAAAGTCTCAGATTTTGTAAGTCAAATGAAAAAACATGCCTTGTCCACTTTTAGTACGTACTCACTTTGAGCCTATGCAACATTTCATATTGTTGGCCACCAATTAATTGGAAATGAGTTCTTGTTGCTCTGAGAAACCCGCAAACAACTAACTTTCGGAGTCAGCTTGGGCACTGTTTCTAGCCAGGTGGATGAGCCGCGGCTTATTGAAAAAGATCACACAAGTTTCATCTTTCTTCGGCCTGTAACATTGATCGGGCTTTTAACCTACTTTTTAAACAAGCAATCCTGTCTTTACCGTCACTAATACAACTGTATTATTTAAAATGTTTTAAAAAACATGCACCTTTAGTACAACTATTTTCCTTCCATCTAAAGATCTGTCTCCCAGTTATTTATGTCAACAGAAGTGGGATTTTTAGCAAAAACTTGGAATACACATCAAGCGTGCATTTTTTTAGATATCGAGTGCGCTTTATTCATTTAAACAAAACTAACCTTAACAAACCCTTTTTTGACTATCTATACAGATTCTGTAGCCGAATGGGTATAGGGAACACTTCTATATATGAATGAGTGCTACCAGTTATGTAACTATTGTATATACATACGCTTCATAAGGGGTTATTTATATTCATGCACCCTTTTCAACGTCTGCTGTCGACGTATGGAAATAAATTTAAACTAGTACATGGCAGTTTCTATGGAGAGCGATACAGCCGATTTGTTCGTCTTAAAAATGACGATAAGATCGCCAGTTTCTTCCAATTCCCGCGCTTTATTGCAAAGGATGTTAAGTGGAACGAACATACAGCATCGGTTTAGTACAACTGATCCATTAGTAGATTTACAGCAAGTTTTTTACGGTCCAGCTTTTCAAAACCAATCGAATAACAACCTGAAAATGAAGACTTACTACTATTAGTTCCGCTTGCAGTGGGTGACTGTACAACATCATTACTTTATAGAATTTCAAGGGTTCTCGACCATTCTCATCTTGATTAACAATAAAAATAACTTTTAATGAAAAATTCGAACATGTGGCAGGTTATATATGATTATCATATGTACCCAATCTAGATCTCTTTGTCCTACTGTTGAGCGTGATCTACTGAAATGCGACTGCAAACTACACTATATATTATTTAACCGCGAGCACAGAGTCACGACTCAAAAAACAAATCTCACGAGATTCGTTTTGTGAGGTTTTGAAATATTTAATCAAAAGCATGCTTAATTCCGCTATCCTAAAGCAGGCATTTCAACACTCGGTATTTAGGGATCATCCCACGACACACAAGGAGCATAATACAGGTAATGTAAACCTCACTCCAGACCTTTTCTCAATTACCTAAAGGAAACCGAAATAGGGCGGCTATTAGAAGTTATTAGCATATAATTAGTTCGTAACTCGTAGGATGTGTGAAACACTACAACAGGTCTTAGAGTTCATCCTCAACGAAAATCGCAACGAAATATGATCAAGACCTGTAGTTTTCCTTCATATAAAGAAATTTACGACCGAGATCTACACGAAAACTTGAAAAGTACTACAACTACATATTATTCAACAGTATGATTTGTTTTTCTAAATTCGATTCCACATGTAGAAGCCATGCTAAAGTAAAGACTTAGAACGCGCCTCTGCAATGCGAGATACTTCAAGGTATGCTTGTACACTCATAACCTGCATAAATAACTGGGCAAAAACTGGAAAAATTACTTTTCTAGTATATGATTATGAAGTTAAACACCATGGCTTTGTTTTGCTTAATCAGTCCGCGAAGGCATTAAATACGGGCACCTCGTTTAAAGGGTGTGACTCTTTCATTATATTTAAAAACTCTAGTTGCCGCTAAGCTTAGCTTTTTGAGCCACTAAATCGAAATCTCAATATATTGACGAAAAGAGGGAACAAAACCACGTTTAAAAATGTGTTCTATCAC